GATTTTGTATAAATAATTTTATTACAATTAATTCATAAATAAATTTGGTTCGGAGTGATTATCATTCCTCAACAAAAATTACCTATAACGTCGATATTTCAAAATAACATTAAAATGACATTAGATTTTTTTATAAATAAGTTTTATATATCTCTTTGCCAAATATATAATTTTAAAGAAAGTGATTTTTGCAATTACAGAAGTGATTTCAACATGTCATAAATCACTCTCAAATATATATCTCTAAATGTCTCAACCCTACTTACTTTAAGAGAGTGAGTTAAGACCCCACCAAAACGAGAGCAAATGGTGTCGACATGTATATGTCGTGTATCGTCTATCAGACCATGTTGAAGATTGAGAGAGAAATATCATGTGATGCAACTAAATAGGATGATGCATCACCTAACATACCAAGATATGTGCATAAAAAAAATATACCCTAAGATACGTTATGTCGGTGGTGTCGTGACAAGTTCAGTAGGAATCAGTTTTAGGGTCCCAAATCACGACCCGATATTAACTTGCACTCCATATTTGCAAGTAAACTCATCGCCACTTATGACGCCCGTGGGTACCAAAACAAAAATGCTTTAGCAAGTACTTTTAGAGGGAGACATGGTTCACTCTCCACCCCCTTAGGTCATGTTATGGCCCAAGCGAGCCACCCCGTGGCACATGTGTGTCAATGCGTGGGCAAGCATCACAAAACGAGTGTCTTGAGTTCATTTGACGATGAGAGTCCAAGGACAATGTCGGGTGGCATGCGTGTGTCTGCATTGTGCCTCTTCCCATGAGTGCGAGATTTAATATAGCCCTAGGCTTCGACATGGTATATACAAATGAGAGTTGGCATGAGCCCAAAAGTCGTCGTACCTAGATAATATCCGGAGATTATATTGATGTCCAAAATATCTCGATTAGAATTATGAACTCATGGGCCAATTGTTGGTTGCTAAGCATACCCGAGTGAGTAGTGAGTCAAGATAACACCCGAATGTCATGTGTTATTTAGGGTGGCATCTTAAAGTACCAGTGATAAGCAACAGAAAGCAAGTCTTAGCTGATCAGTAAAAGGCAAGACTCATCTCGATTAAGAAGTTGAGCTATTTCCTTTTTGGTTGGCGGTTGGCAGTAGGAAATCATCCTGAAACAACTATATAGGGGTCCGAACATAGGACCTCCCATTCTGATACCATCTTAAGAATGAACAAATCATCACTGAACCCAAAAATTTAAACTGGTGGATTGGATAAATTTAATTCATATAATATTCTAACATGATACAAGCCTAAATATGTTTGGGTGAGGAAGAGGGAAAGAACCTTTTGCTTATGATCCAACAAAGTTAAAAATGTTTCGAAGCTAGAGTTAAACTTAGTAAGATTATATGGCAAAGGTTGAAAAGGTACAACCATGACACGAAGGTGCATTGGATTCGGAGATGGCTTCAGTGGGTGGGTTCCTGGTTTTGTCGAAATCAATGTATATCTGTATCATATATGTTCATGAACGCCGCTCGAAATTGCACATGCTACATGCATACACTGAACAGGTCATATGAGAACGTTTCTCCTTTTTTAATACCCAACTTGGTAAACTACTTTCTCTCTCTCTCTCTTTTTATTGTACTAATCAATTTCTGATAAAAAAAAATTAAGTAATATCCCTAAATTTTTCGAAGGTTGAATCAATTAAAACTATAAATTAATAATGGCATCAATTAAAATTCAAACATTTTTAAGTGAATTAATTTATACCATGAAAATTATTAATAAATGATTTCTATATGTTACTAAACCTCTTTAAAGGCAAGATTAACAAGATATTAGAGCATCCAACGAGTGGCAGGGACTTCATCAATATGAACAATTTTTCATATTCTCTTACTTCCTCTATTTTTCTTTCAATAAAATGTATTGTGCCACAATCAATTCGAACATATATAGTTCAATTGATTAAAGCATATATTTTCGACTAAAATGTTCGATGACATATATCATAATCAGTTGAGCTATGTCTAAGTTAACAAATATATACGACTTTAGTTAATCTTCTAAAATTTTCACATTCCTCTTTTTTCTATTCTCGGACTATTCAACATGCTCTAATTTATAGAAGCTGGAGATTTTTTTCTTTCTTTTTGAATACAACAAATTAGGAATATGGAGCTTATGAACCTCATACCTCAGGAGAAGGAGTATGTATCAGTCACTATTGAGTTAGGTTCATATTAGCATAAAGTTGAAACTAAAATGGAAAGGGTAGAGTTTTTTCCTTTTAAAAAGTAATATTTGAAGTTAATTTAATCATACATCTTGTCTTAGGTCTCTTTGTGGAAGGATTGGCAAATAAAGGCAAGCTCCTTGTACGGTGTTGCTGCGGTTTTCTTGGTACTTTTTTTTTTTTAAATAATGCCAAATTAGAATTTTATTTACAAAATATAATCCAAAATAAGGTTTGAAAAATTGCAGGTGATCTCTTGCTCTACAGTTTACAATTTGTATGATACTTTGCTGGCACCATGTATTTTTTTATAAGAAAAAAAATCCTGAGTGATTATAATCTCATCCTTTAATCTAAAGGTAGTTTTGGTCTAAACAAGTATTTTACAGAGACCGAAGGAATTCTATTAATAACGTGCGGGAAATGAATTTAGTCGAAATGATATACAAATTGTTTTCTAAAATAAGTTTTCAAATAGTATGTCTGGCAAATAAACTTCTAATTTAGCACTATTTAATAAAATAAAATAAAAACAGAAAAAGTCCGCTTTTTTTGGTGCTGAAAAAGTTCCGACCAACAAATCAAATTCAAGTTTGTTTTGTTTTTTTTTAAGGATATAAATAGGGTCGGTCTGTCGGTCTGTTTAAATAGTAAATTGATTTTTTTTTTTTTTAATACAACAACATTTCTTTATTTAGTGCAAAGGAAGATTAAAAAAAAAATATATCCAAAGTTGCGTATTAAAAATGAAGAAAAGTTCTTATATGACCTGTTTACTGTACGCAGGTTAGCATGTGCAGTTTCTAGCCGCATTCACGAACATATATGATGTACATTGATTTCAACAATATGTTCTAAATCTTTTGTTATATTTCTTTTAAGTTTATTTAATTTTATGTATAAAATTGATTCATTATCCTTTTTCATCCATTTAAATAAATGTGTATTCATACTCAAATTTATACCAATATTTAAATAGTTAACTAGCTGAGTCAATATATAATTCACCTTCATAATCAACATCATCGTAGTTCAATAGTAACTAATATTTGTTCAATAGTCAATAGTAAATCTCTATCATCGTAGTTCAATAGTAACTAATATTTGTTCAATAGTCAATAGTAAATCTCTTTCCTCGAAGTTGGATATTCAAATATTTATATAATATTTCATATTTATTGAATTTAAAATTAAAATAAAATTTTATAAAGCGGAAGATTCAAACATTTATATAATATTTCATATTTGTAGACTTTCGAATTTTAATGGACTCCGTTTATAATTTCTTTAATTAAATTTTTAATAGTTTTAAAAAACTTCTAATTATAGTTTTTATACGGAAATAAGGATTAAGTGGTTCTTTCCAAATTTGAAATTAAATGAAATATGAAATTCAAACAGCTACTACTTTTTTTGGGTTTATTTTGAAGTAATATCATTTAGTTTGTTTAGTTTTGAATTTAAATTTGAATCTTGTTGGTTAAATTTTGAATTTGAATCTTCATTTTTTGTCAACGATATGTCGATATTATCGATCCTTCAATATATAAATGGAGGAAAAAATTGTTTTTTCTAATGTTAACATGCCATTGATATATCAAAATATTAACGACATATCGTCTTTTTTCGACCTTTCAAAAAATCTTTCCTCCCCTCATCGAGGATATATTATAGATTTTCCGAGAAATGGTTTGATTAAAGGCCAAAATTCAGCCCAATTTTTCAACTTATAAAGGCCGAGTTTAGGAGATTCACAAGCCCAAGCCCAAGCCCAATTATAGGCTTCAGCCCATTACTGATGATGTAAGGAAGGGAAGGGAACGGGTCTTTTTACAGAGAGTGATTACTCGATGAGGGACGGGCAAAGCTTATCAGTTCACACTGCTCATACTCGTACATACACAATAAGTATAACACAACACACGAATATATTATTATATCATTTATATTTTCTTCACTTTTTCCATTTTTCATTTTATTTATATATTTTAATTATAAAGTTTTTTAAATTGCAAACTCCATGTTATAGTTGAAAATATATACCCCTTTCATATTGTTTTGTAAATATTTCTTATTTTACCTATATTTTCAAGTTTTTCATAATTTTATTTTTGAAATTTCCATCAATATTTTTCATATAAACGTTAATTATATCTTTAGATACGGTGGTTTTCAATGATCAATTAATTCAATTATTTACTAAGTGAAACAACATTCATAAATTTTCATGTAATTCCGACATTTTTATATAAACATTACTTATATTTCTACATAAATTTTTAGATATGATGATTAAAATATTAATTATTGCTTAATTAAGCCATAATTAAAATATATTTTATTAATTCAAACAATTTTCACCAATTTTCAGGATTTTTTTTCGAAATTTCCATCAACATCAACATTTTCGTAAAGTTGAACCCTCCATATTTTCATTGACACGTTGACATTTTAAACCTTGTTCTTCTTACAATTATGCTAAGTGTTTTTTATTGTATTTGTCGAAAGAAATAATCTTATAATCAAACATTGTGTAACTATCTTTTGGGTTAGGTGATAATTTGTCTCAAATAAAATTCTAGATTATGTAGAAAGACTTAATTGTTCATTTTTACTCCAACTAATATTTTTGGTATTTTTTCAAAATGAGTTTTTTTTTCCAACGTGAACAAAAGTTTTAGAAATTTCAGCAATAGTCGGTGTCTATTAAGATCACAACAAAATTACAATAAACCTAAAAAGCTAACTATATTCATTTAAAAAGAACTGAAATGGCTTTTCAAACCAAAAAATCTAATTAAATCTTTACAAAAATGTATAGAATCGTTTTAATTTTGAAATCAAATTAGATTCTAAATAAAGAAATTTAAAATAAAAATGATGAAAAAAAATAAACCAAACGTAAGAAAAATCAAGGTTTATGATGATCTAATGATAAACAAAATGTATTTGTATATATATTTTAGATATATAAAGTAAAATGGCATATGATGTACAATTTAATTGTACCTATATTTTTCTTCTATCACCGATCTACGTAGACAATAAGAAGATAACGCAATGCATAGCTCAATTGAATATCCACTCTACATGTTGTATTAAATATATATATATATATATATATATTTATTGAATTAACCGTCAACTACTGTGGCACTAGAAATTAAGCTTAGAGTGGAGAGAACAAAACAAAAGATACAGAATAGAGACTTTGTGAGAGGAGATGAGACATACGTTTGTGAAAAGTAATGAAAAGAGAAGTTACAAAATTAAAAAAAAAAAAAAAATACAACATCTAATAATATAATTAAATATGGCTGTTACGGAATTTATAAATGTTATTCTATAATAAAGGTAAGAAATTAATGACTATAAACAAAATATGGTTGGGCGACGTGTCTGGCTGTGCCATCAGAGTATCATTTGAAGAAGGAAAAGAAGTTCCAAGTTGCAACCATAAACCCACCCACCACACCTGCTTTAATAAATACTTTAATCATTGTCTTTTCAAAACCATTTTGTTAATGATTTAATTGTATTATATGACGACAAAAGAAGCTGAAAGCACTGTCGTTTACAAGACAGAAAGTTGAAGAACGTTTGGAAGCCATTTTACAGAGCTATTTTTGAAATATAAAACTCCAAAGTCTATGAAATCGCCGTTGTATAAAATGACACAAAGTTATGAAGAAAGATGATTGAATGAGTAAAATATTTGTCTTCTCCTTCACCCTTTTCCACATATCACACCACAGTCACCAAAAGCTTCATTTTTTAATATAAAAAAGGAAAAGGTTAACAATGGGTAGGTGGGTTTGGTCTACTAATCTGTTTTCTGTCTTCATCAAATCCCGAATCCGAAGATTAAAATGTTGGATTTTACAAGGGCATTAAATCATCATTCTAAAACAAGTATTTCTTGAAGATCCAGGAGAGTTTTGCTTGTCCTACATTGATATCGATGGCATGGCATCCCCTTTTTGATTGTCAAAACTTGCAACCCAAATTTGGCAATGAAATAGACTCCCCTCTTTCCAATCAAAATGGCACCAAATTATGATGCCTTGGGAGTTGAGGGTCCACACCCAAGCTTAGTAAATAATGGCAAAACTCTCCCAAACACACAACATTCACAAAATAAGACTTCAACTTCAATCTGTTAAAAGGATCAATAATCGAATAAGACTTTCTTATTTTTCCACAGGCTTCGTACATATACACCTCTATATTTACTCTCTCTCTCACAACTCTAATCTAGCCACCTCCAAGTCAATTCAAAATTATACCACACATTGATTGCATATTAACATCTCAAAATCACCATTTTTTCCCCTTTTTCTTCGATTCTTTTTGTTCTCTCCCGCATTGAATCCAAATCCCCTCTAGAGAGGGAACCACAGAGAAGAACAGTGAGAAGAAGATGGGAAAGGAAGAAAAAAAAGAGAATCTCAAAAGAAACAAACAAAAATGAAGAAATTATCATACACGGGGTTGGAGTTTTTGGTTATAGCAGAGGAGGAGAGTGGAGCAAATTCGGGTACCAATTTTTCTTTTCTGGTTTCTCTCTTTTCTCTATCTGAAAATCTCATTATTCGGTATCTGAAGGTATATGTGATGGAGCTGGAGCTGGAGCTGGAGCAGCAGCAGAGTCCTCCTCCATCTTCAAATTCTGTAGTGCTGGTTTCAATTCCACATTACAGAAGTGTTCATACTCTGCTTTATCTCCCCCTTTCCTCTTCACCTCCACCATCACCAATTTGGGCGTCAATTCAAATATCTCCGCCGCGATCGTCAATGGCCCTTTCACACCTTCCATCGACCCCTCCAAACTCACCCTGCAATCCTTCTTCCTCACAGTGAAACTCACCAATTTCGCAATTTCCTCCAATTTAGATATAATCTTCGACACCGGAGCGCCGGACACAAATCTCGCCTCTTCCCCTCCGTCCTCGAACAACCCGGAAAGATCAAATCCGGGCGAAAACGAAATAATATCGAACGCATTCAAACTCGCCGGTCTCGGGAGCGAAGCGGTCTTTCTCCGAAACTCAATTTCGGAATCGGATTCCGATTGCGATTGATCCGATAAGGAATCGATGTCGTCGTTGTCCTCCTGCACGCTACACACCTTATCGTCTTCGATGTAGAATTTGATGTGCTTATACCCCTTTTTGAACCATCTATTCTCCATGATTTCAGGAATTGTGATTCGGGTTTCGGGATTTGTGTCCAAAAGCCGATAGAGGAGTCGAACTAGCTCCGGCGAGAACCATCTGGGACACCGGAACTCGCCCTTGTAAATTTTCTTATACATTGCCATAATGTTCTGATCGTGGAAGGGCAAATAACCGGCCATAAGAACGAACAGAATAACCCCGCAGGACCATATATCGACCTTCACGGCCTCGTAGCCCTTCCGGGCCAAAACCTCCGGAGCGACATAAGCGGGCGTACCGCAAAAAGTGTGGAACAAACCGTCCTGTCGAATTTGATCGGAGACGGCGCT